TTTCATCTGCAACAGGAATAAATTCTCTCGGCAGACAACCATCAGAACATAAGAAATCAGTTACATTTGATGATGGCGTCAAACCCGGTGTTGATACAAATACGTCTGAAGCAGCTACAATTGCAGCAACAAATATCATGTCATCAAATAAAGTGCGCACAAATGAAACTGATATAGATCAAGCATTCTTATTCAAGCCAGGTTTGTTTTCAAATAAATAAGTAAATATGTAATATATAATATATTTGTACGTAGAATCATTAACAGCAGAAGAACTTGAAGAAAGAATACGACAACTAAAAGGTTTTTTATTTTCTTTTGTTTTCAAGATGCTCTTATATTTATATATGTAATTTATTATTATAGACCCAAATGAACCACCTGTTGAATTTCGTATTCATAATAATTTGATTGTAATCAGCAAGATTGTTGACAATTGTAATTTAAATCAAAATGGTGGATATTGTTGGATATTTTCTACTCGTGGTTTATGTACTGTTTCACAAGATGAAGTTATTTTTATTTTTGATGAAAATATAACTAATGCAAGTGAAATTATTTCTGATGTTCTTATTCATATTCATCAAATATATATTGATGCAACTAAAGGTATAGAAAAGAAAGATTGTTAAGTTGAAAATGATCATTTATATTTATTTAAGGTACATTTGTTCGTCACTTAAGTTTATCACTTTCAACTAATTCATCAACATTTCTTGGTTCATCAGCGGCAGCTGGTTTTCTTTATGTGTCTGATCCTACACCATCATACAATCTATTGCCTGATGCACCCTATCTATTTGGTATACTTATCCATCGAACAGAATTACCTACTGCGCAATGCTTTCCAGTAAGACTTCTACTTCGATTAGGTTATGAATATCAAAGTAAATATAATATTTTATTTTTTTCTTCATAATTTTATTAATTCTTTTCTAGGTTATCCATGGCCATTAGTTAGTATTGTTAATCGTAATGCGTTATTTAGTGATACACAACATACAATAATGAGTTTACTTTGTGTAAATATTATTATTTCTTTTTTTCATAAATATTGTATTTTATTTAAATAGGATTTTCGTTCATTTACGTATGTATTACCTACAATACGTGGTTTAATCATATCAGTTGGTATTCAAGGTTCTGTATCAATACGTATTCCACGTAATCGTCATGATGATATATTAAAATCACTTGAGCAAAGTAGTCCACATGCATTAAGTTTTGGTATAATGAATGTTAATCGTCAAATACATACGAAACATCTTGTTACAATACAAAATTCGAATGATCAACAATATGAAACACGTATATTTTCATCATTAGATTCTAATAATGAACAAATCATGATTGGTGGAAATTTTCTTGTTATTAATGCAAGTCTTCGTTCTCGTGATAGTCCATCAAGTTCACCATTAGATATACAACAGAGTGGAAGTTTTTCAACAAATAATAATCTTAATGCTAAGGTAAATACAATTGAAGATGGAATTATGCTACAAATTGATGGTGATGCACTTAAAGTACTTAAACAATGTTTAAGAGAACGAAAAGATTATGCAATATTAGCTAAAGCTAGAACGATTATGACTGATGAACAAAAAGATTCAATAAATGGAACTATTGTGAAAAGAAGTTCAAGTGAACAACTTGTAGAATTTTTATGGGTTGATGAAGATAATGATGTTAATCGAGGGTAAGAATAATGCTTTCAATAAGATATATTTCTCTAATTTTTTATCGTAGAGTTCGTTCACCAATTGATCATTTTCCGATGGATGGAGTTCGTAATTCTCGCATCCATTATGCTGGTCAACGTTCACCATTATTTCGTCTTCGATGGACAGATTTATTTTTTATTGAATGTCATTTAAATAATAATGAATCATTCGATCCAACACGTTTAGCTGATTCACTTGCTAAAGCTTTTACACAAGCATTAACACCTTTTGTTGATATGCTTGTAGAAGCTAAATATCGAAAGTTAGGTTTACGTGTTACTATTGATCGAGAAAATGTAAGTTACATAAAGAAAAATTGCAAATGTTTAACTTTTATTTATTTATTTATTAGGCATCATATTTAGCCGGTTCTAATGGTGAACAATTATCACCATTCTTTTTAAGTCAACTTGATGATCATATGATTCCAATTGTAATGAAAGCATCGGACAATGTATCACGTGCAGCACCATCGCTTGTTCTTGAGCTTGTCTTCTATTTGCTTGATTAGTCGTGTGACTCTATATGGTACTTTTTATGTCTGGTCTTTATTACTTTGTATATGATTCCTTTCTTCTTCTTCTTCTTCTTTTTTTGGTTTTTCAACCTTGACCATTTATTTATAAAGAAATTTGAATTAAATAAAATGAATACACACAAAAAAACAAATCTACTAATAAAGTATTCAAGATTGTTCGTTTTGAGATAAGAAGAAAAAACGTGCACGTTTTAAAAGAACGAAATCGTTTTTTTTTTGTTTTATTTTACAAAATGTCGACATTTCGTTTAGCCACACTTAATGTACATGTATTTAATTCACCAAAAAACGGTAAAAATAATATCAATGATCTAATATCGGTTCTTGAACCACTTAATCTTGATTTAATTGCTGTTCAAGAAATAAACAATAATGATAAATGGAGAATATTTTGTCAACGTCTCTCTTTACCGAATTTTATTTATGGTCAAGGTGATCAAGATCATCTTGGAAATGGAATTGCATCTCGTTATCCATTTGAATCTTTTTCAAATGAACGAGCATATTTTCCATGTCGAGGTGGTACACGGGGTTTACTGAAGTGTCGTTTAAATAGTGATCATCCATTTACTAAAGATAGAATATTTTCTGTCACACATTTAGATCATTTGAATGAGGATAGTCGTTTACAACAAATCAAAGAACTTAATCCATATAGACAGAATATTGATATATTAATGGGTGATATGAATGCATTAACAAGGAATGATTATTCAGATAATTATTATCAAGAACAAGTTGTTGAAATGCGTGAAAGTTTTCAAAGGGATAAACCTCGTTTTGATTTAACTAAATTAATAACAGATGAATGGAATTATCAAGATGTATTTAAATTAAAAAATCCACAAGTAAAAGATGAACAAATAGCAACATGTCGATATGGAACGCGTGTTGATTATATTTATGTGCGTCCTCGTGCCGATGATCAATGGTTTCTAAGTGAATGTTCAATTATTGATACTAAAGGAGAGACAGATCATAATGCTGTTTTTGCTGAATTTAAATTAAAATCAAAATAAATGAATTTCTTTGTGATTTTAAATATACGTTGAATGTTGTCATTTACAACATATTTCTTGAGGGTGAATGTGAGCGTTGATATGGTTATGTGTGTGAGGATATCTGGTATGATCCTACAGGCACACTCGCACCCACACCCATATCCTCAAGAGTGTATGTTTTTCACGTTCCTTTCTATAATATAATATTATCTCGAATGTATATATGAAGGTTTGTGCTTATCTCTTAAAAGCAGACAAAAAACTATTTCGAGGTAAATAATTTTATTACTAGTTGGAAATAAAATAAGTAGTTCTTATCAACTTATACTATTCACTTTGTTGGCCACTCTTTCAACATCGATGTAATAAAAATCACATTTAGCTTTGCCTATAATCCATGAATTATGTATCTTTTATACTTTTACACACTTCTCAGAGAGAAACCATTAAAAACACAGAAATAAAAAGTGCACAATAACAACTGTTTTACGATTAACGAAAGTCAATACGCATGACTTGCCTCATCCTTTTTCACAATCATCCTCTTGTCATTTTCGAAAATATGTGTGGATGTAGACGATGGTACGGGTGTGTGTCTCCTCATTTCACTCTTATTCATACGTATCGATCCATGCCCTCATACCGCATTTCCAACCGACACATTTGTTACAATAATCTTACTCTTATTCTAAGCAAAAATATCGAATGCCACAGAATCTGATAGATCTTAAAAAAGATTCTAAAACACTCGTTATTTTGCTTTACAATACATCAATCCGTAAAGAGAATAAAGTTCTTCTAGAATGCAAATTTTAAAGGTGAGCGTGTGGGTATGGGTATGAATGGAATGAAGACACACACTCGCATTCTCACACGCCCTATACTCATACCCACGCCCGCAACCTACTCTCTTTACACTGCTCCATAGGCATAAATCCGCACGCACATCCACATCCAAACCGAACTTGAAACAATGATAAAATCATCAAAATTTGATATAACAAAGCCAATGTTTATTGTTAAATGTAATGAAGATGGTGATGATATTCATTTATTTCAACAATACTGGACAAAAAAAATGTTTTCAACCATGTTTATTTATTGATCCAAAACAATTAAAAACTGAAAATAATCAGTTAATTGATCGAAAACCAAATAACATTATTGAACAATTTATTCTTGAATTGCATCAATATGAACTTTGAGAATTATCTTCCGATATTCTTGAATATTTTATTAAAAATAATCAAACAAATTATATAAATGATTTAAGAACAATATTTATTTTACATGATAAATCTTGATTAGATGAATAGATATTTAGAGGTAATACGAAATTATAAAAAGAAATATGATGATTACAAAAATTCTGTTTATAATTTGTAGAGAACTGGTATGTCAATGTACTCATATGATTGAGCAAGTGGATAACATGACATTTTACT